CTCCACCATTTCACTACTATACCACTGCCTCCAACTGAGCCTGGGGTCCCCAAATCCAGAGACCCTGTTTACCCTTCTCCAGAGACTAGGCCTAAGTTTTTTCCCAGAGTAGGAGAAAGAACAATGACTTCTGAAACATACTTTGAACCAATTCTCTTTATTTTAACCACACACACCTTTACTCACTTGGTGAGCTTCCCTAGACTGCCAATGCCTCAGCCTTTGAGGATTCTGTGGTTTAAATTAGGTCGGTTCTCTGCTATCTCCACCACTAGATTTAGGATTTCGTTTCCTCGACCACTTGCTAGCTTCCAAAATTGGGTTGCTAGTGTCTCCTTTTTCATTCACCCCATCCTTATAGGTTTAAGTCTTTTTAAGTATCTTTACTGACATTTTATCAGGGTTTTGGGAGGGAGTCAAAATAAATGCTTGTGTTTGATCTACCATCTTTAACTGAAAGTCTCTGGCACTGAATTTAAACTGAGCATTTGACATAGATGCTGCAAATGGTTAAGTGCTCCACTACTAACCAAAAGGTTGGCAGTTAGAACTCATCCAGAGGTGCCTTGGAAGAAAGGCCTGGCAATTTGCTCCAAAAAAAGTCACAGCCTTGAAAACCCTATGGAGTGCAGATCTACTATGCACTCACAGGATCACCAGAAGTCGGAATCAACTTGACGGCAACTGTTTTTCGTTTTTTTTTTAAATTTAATATAGTGACTTCCACTAAAAAGCAAAAATGTGAGTCAGATCTTCTCTTTAACTTCCTTCACTTTTCTCTACCATGTTATCAGTCCATAAAAGATTTCCCTTTTCACTATGTTCTTCATGAAAGAGCCATACTTGACTCTGGAGTTAAGTGGGAACAGTCCAATGCTTCAAAAAAGCAGCAACCTGAATTGTTGCTGCCAAGATCTGAGAGGAGGCCCTTGCGACTTCACTTGGTGCCTTAGCTGCTCCTGGCTCATCCTGACAGCCCCCTCCTCCACTCATATAATCTCCATTCCAGACCTCCACCTGGGTAACCCTAAAGCTTTTCAAATTCAAGAGTACCCAAGGCAGAAATCACCTTTCCCCTCAATGGTATCCTCTAATTTTTCTCCTATAATGTTATCACTGTTCACCCAGAACCCAAGCCAGAACCTTGGTAGTCCCTGTGACTTCTCCCTTGAACTCATCATACATGTCTCGTGGGTCATACCAGGTCCTGACATCACACCAGTCCCCTCCTTTCCACTGGCCACTGCTGTTGGACAACATCCTCCTAAGTGATCCCCCTGCCCTCCTCAAACATACCCTCTACCCTGCAGGAAGAACGACCTAAAATGTTAAAACTGAAAGATCTGTAAAAGCTCTCTACTCTCCAAGCCCTCAATCTGAAGATGAGGTTAAAAAAAAAGGTGACCTTCCCAGAACAATGACTGTAACCCAGAGGAAACTTGCTGAAGAAAGCAATTATTTCAGACAAGTTTCTCTTTACTCTTTCTATACCCCTGTCTTCCAGACAACATCAACTCCACAAACAGAAGACTTGAAAATCAAGTCCCTTTGTTTAGCCCCTTTTGGAAATGTAGTTTAAAACAGGTGTTGGTGCAGCACTAAAACCACTCCTGAGGCCAACTGTTCAAAGATTAGACTGGACTGTGCGACATAAAATGGTACTCGTGAAGAGTGTGCTTCTTAGCTCAAGTAGATACAAGAGACTAAATGGGCAGCTCCTGTTCGGACATGAAATGAGAAGGCAGAGAGGGTTAGGAGCTGGATGAATGGACACGGGGAATCAGGGGTGGAAAGGAAGAATGTGCTGTCACAGTATAGGGAGAGCAATTAGGGTCACATAATAATGTATGTATAAATTTTTGCATGAGAGTCTAACTTGTAATTGTAAACTTTCACTTAAAGCACAATAAAATAAAATTAAAAAAAAAAAAACAAAAAAACCCACCAGGGTTGCCAGATCAAAGACTTCCCACAAGCCAAATGATGACCATCAGAATTTACTCCCTGCTCTTTCCATTTAAGACTCAATTAACACTCTGCCACTTTGTTACTTAAATTTCAAAAAGCCAAAAATTCCTCAAATAGAAGACTTCCAAAGCTAGGATTGGAACTAATTCCAGATGTCCTGATCAACAGTGAGAGGACCCAGATCAGCTGTTCTTGATGCCTCTTTCACTGGTCTACTTGAAAAACAAATGAAACAGATGGTAAAGAGCAAATAAAACTTCCTCACACTTTAAGGATAAGAAGCATGAAGAAAATAAACAAAAACAAAAAACGTAATATTTAAATCATATAACCAGAACCAGAAGAAAGGCACGATAAAGTGAGGTATGCAACAAATATCCTGTCATTAAGCATTTGAAAGACAAAGTTACTGTATAATACATACTCTAAGTGAAGTGGCTTCCAAAATTGTCTCCCTGAGTCTAGAGAAGGCAGATTTTAGGCCAACATTCTTTGTCTGCTAAAAATTGTGTTCCTATATTAAAATTAAATCTGGAGATGGAGAGAGAGTGACATACACCATAAGGTATTTCCACAAGAACTTCATTTCTTTCAAGTGTAGGTTTCAAACAAATTACGCGGTCATTTTAATCCAATAAACTTTCAATACAATCCTAACTTACTCTTCCTTATGGTTTATGTTCGTACTACATCCAGGTCTCTTTGGCAAGTCAACATCATGACACAGAAACCTTCCCTTAAACTAATAACATCAGGAATCATAGGGAGTGGCAGGCACATGATTTCCAAGAGTGAAAAGGTCCTATTTCAGGCCAAGTCAGGTGGCATTCTCCTCTATACAGGCACCTTGGTAGCCTACTTGAAATAACAGCAAAAGAAAATGCTTGCTTATTGTCTGATTTCCTTCCAACGTAAATTAACATATAAGTAGTAGTGAAAAAGTCAGAGTAGTACCAAATGTTTTTAGAAAATCCTTTAATTTATAAAAGGCATTAAAAAACCCATAATACTAATAATTTCTTAAAACTAAAAACCCATTGCCGTTGAGTCTATTCTGACTCATGGTGATCCTACAGAACAGAGTGGAACTGCCCCATACAGTTTCCAAGGCTGTAATCTTTACGGAAGCTGACTGCCACATCTTTCTTCCGTGGAACGGCTGGTGGGTCTGAACAGATGACCTTTTGGTTAGCAGCCAAGTGCTTAACCACTGTGCCACTAGGGCTCCCATTTTCCTACTGGTCTCAAAATGCTCAGTGTTTGCTGTTATTGTTGTGTGCAGCCAAGTTAATTCCGACTCACAGCGACCCTACAAGACGGAACAGAACTGCCCCTATTGGGTTCCTAGGCTGTAATCTTTATCGGACCAGATCTCCAGGTTTTTTCTCCTGTGGAGCAGCTGGGTGAGTTCAAACCACTAACCTTTCAGTTAGCAGCTGGGCACTTAACTGTTGCACCACCAGGTCTCCTTACTAAGGGCTTAACAACCAAACTATAGCTGGTTTGAGATTTCCTATTCTCTACCTAGAAGTGGTTAAGAGCTCAGGCTGCTAACCAAAAGGTGGCAGTTTGAATCCACCAGCCCCTCCCTGGAAACCCTAAGGGGCACTTCTGCTCTGTCCTGTAGGGTCGCTATGAGTTGCAATCAACTCGATGGGACACAACGACTCCAATTACAACAAACCCCAACAGGCTGTCTGAATTGTTTTTGTTGTACTGGCTTTTGGTCACATAAAACATGACAGTACCTGGTAGCTGTGATCTTTAAAAACTACTGTCACTATTCTAATTTCTAAATTCACTGTCCTCCGAATCCTACTCTGGGCAGGGGGGAACAGCGAGGCAACATGGAAAGACCATTGGGAGACAGCTCAAGAGACTAGATTAGAGTCTTGCCCCCACTATTAACTGACTGTAAGATCCAGGCACTGCGCTGAATCTTCATGAACTTCAGTTTCTTCATGTATAATTAGACTGGGTGATCAGCTCCCTTCCAACTCTCAATACAGAAATACTGTGTAACTGCCTTCCGCTGGCTCCACAACTTTGGGAAGGTGTTATGAACACCTGCTGCGTACCACTGACTCAGTGCTTGCCAGTCTACAATCAACTTTTATTTAAAAAAAAATCAGAAACCTCCTTTTCTACTCTGCTGATGCCATTCAGCCAGGCAAAAGTCAACCCAACCACCACAGACTTTGTGTGAAGCCAAATGTCCCACTCCTCCTCTCTTACATCACTTCCTGTTACTCACTTCCCAAGATGGCTCTCCTCCCTTCCAGCTCCACAACTCATCCTTCCTTCTCCAGAAACCTCATCTACTAACTATCCTCACAGGTCATCAGAGGCAACCTCTGAAGAATCTGCTTCAAACTCCGGAGCAGTTTGGGCAGACAGCCTTCTAAACCCAGGGGCTGACATCCAGGTCCTCTCTTCCCCTGAGGATGGATGGCCCATTCCCAGAAGCACCAAGACTCCTCAGGCCCTTCTCTGTAACATGCCCCTGGGCTGTCTCTCCCTAGGCCTGTGGCCAGCATCAGGACTACGTTTGCTTCTTGCCTGGAGAACACAGCAAAGTTACCTGCCACAGAGAACAGCGAGGAAGGAAGAAAAGGGAATAGAAACAGGGGGAAGGGGCCCTAAGAAAAAGCAGAAAAAGGCCTGAAAGGGGAGAGAGTGGGGACAAGGGCAGGGGAAAAAGGAGGGGGACAGAAGGAACCCACCCCCACCTCCCCAGAGGCGCCCAAGACAAGTTAAACCACAAAGTTGTGTCTCAACTTTGCAAGAAGTGAAGTCTGAAAACAGAAGCTCTCCTCGTTAAGAGGCGAGAGACACTTGTCTCCAACAGCACGTGCAGGGCAGCGCCCGACGGTCCCCAGGCGGACCCTCCCTCCAGGCCCTGGGGACGCCTCCACCCATCTTGGCCAGGGGAGGCCAGGCTCCGACCCCCAGCACCGCGCGGGGCCGCCAGTCTGCCCGGGCCCCGACCTCCGACCTCCGACCCCCGACTTCCGACCCCGGCCCGGCCTTACGTGTTGTCCTGGTTAAAGTTGGCGAAGAGCAGCTGGCCGGAGCCGGCCTCGCCGCTCTGACTGGCCAGGTTCATGGCTGCGGCGGCCGGCGGGGGCTCAAGCGCGGGAAAGCAGGTTGAGCTGCTCTCAGGGTCGGCGCCGTGCCCCGCTAGCCGCCGCGGTCGCCGCCACTCGCTGCTCCGGGATCAACCGCCGCCTCATCCCGGCCCGGCTCTTGTTTATGCTCCTGAGCCGGGGCCACCAGGGCGCCTGCGCGGCACCGCCCCCGCGGCGCACGGCGTCCGCCGGCGCAGGCGTGCTATGGAGGCCCGGCTCCTTCACCTCTGGCCCGGCTGGATTCCGGTGGAACACGCAGGCGTGGAGGCGAGCTGGGCGCAGCGGGCGGGCGAAGTGAAGCGCCGCGCTTGCGCATTGCAAGGAGCAGGCGGGTTCCTGTGCTCGGGGCACCCATGTAATTTTCATCCATATTAAAGTGGCCTGCAGAGGAGTTAGCCATGTGAGGATCATTGTGCTAAATACTTCTGTGCATTATCTTATTTGATCCCCACAGCAGCCCTAGGTAGAGAATTTTGTAACCCCGTTTTATAGATTTGAAAACTGACGCTCAGAAATATGTTTCCCAAGGTCAACCAGTAAGTGTTCCCCCTCCCAATCAATAGCCCCGCTGAAGGTAATCAGTATTCTGCCTGTTTTTGAATTTCATGTAAATGGATTCATGCAATATATATGGACCCCAGGGTTGAGATAAGCAAAAGAATGATGGGGCAGTTGGAAGTGAGAGCTTTTGAGAAAACATGGCACAGTTGTATGGCTGAGGGAAAACCTCGCACACCCATGGAAGCGCCCAGCAGCATTCCTTCAGCATGCCTTCACTGACTACCTCTTAGATGCCAGGCACTGATGAATCCGCAGTAGACAAAGTTGATACTTGGAAACTTTCAGCCATCCCACGCGTTAATGGATCATTGCAGACCATGTTGCAAGCTATGAAGGAGGAATTCAAGAGGGGTGGGATTCAGAGCCAGCTAAGCGAAGGATCGTGGTGATGGTGGTCATAGAAGGCCTCTTTGAGGATGTGACCTGGGACCAGCCCTAACAAAGAGGTAGGGTGGCAGTGGAGAGTTCCTTCAAAATGCTTCAATCAGCCTGGCCATCTTCACTTCAGGTCTCCTCCCAGCTTCCATGCTCCTGCCAGTGCCACCTGCCATCTCTCCATCTCCCATTATGTGCTTCTTGGAGTCCCTCACCCTGTCCCCTTTGCTTCTGTGCTCAGAATCCCAGAAAACAGAAAACACACGTCAAGCGTGCTATATTGATTCCTGAATGGAACTTCTACCTGGAAGCCTGGACTCCCTTACTTACCCAGAGGAACTGGCCTGCACAGCCAAGAAAGAAATATGATGGGCACTTTTCTTTTGACTCTCCACTCTCTCCCTAGGTTCACCCTCTTGCATGTTCAATTATCATCTAACGGACAACAACTTCCAAAAGGTGTTTCCCACTTGCCAAGGACTGTCATGTTTCTGTAAATGCACTCAACCCCTCAAGTGACTGTAGCCAGAATGAATGATATAAAATGCAAATCTATCAGGTTAAAATTCTCCAGTAACATCTTGTATCAGTAAGGGTCCTAGCAGAAAACAGATGGCACAGGCAAATGGACACTTAAAGAGAGCTTAGTGAAGGGACTATTGACAGAGGGGTGGAAAGATGTGAAGAGGGTAATGGCAGTGGTGTTGAAAAGTTAGCGTGCATCAGAATCACCTGGAGGGTTGAATGAGTAGGTCTGGGATGGGCCTGAGAATTTGGATTTCTATCAAGTTCCCGGGTGATGCTGATGCTGATGGTCTGGGGAACCACACTTTGGGTTACAGGGACCAACAAGGTATGTTGAGACATCTCAGGACTAGCAACAATAGAAAGCTATTACCACTCCTGGTGTTCAAGGAACAAGGGGAGGGAGCAATGTTACCAGAACTCAGTGTTTACTGTATCCATGGAAGGAGCCACCCAACAAGAGTTGTGGGTGTAGGTAGAGGAACAGAGTAGCTGTTGAAACTTTGGCTCGGCAGGAAGGGAGCTAGGGATGGAAATACTTCTGCATTCTAATTTCTTGCTTATAACTCCTATTGGCCAAACCAACCAGAGGCCAGATGGCAGGGAGCCTGGTTTATGCCATCCACAGAGGTCAGCCTGGGCCAGAGTGGGGTAGGGTAGAGAAGAAAATGGATCTCAAGGAGCACACTGAGAATAACTAATACAGTCCACCCCTTTAGTCGTCTGCATTCTTTGCACTTTGGTGAAAAAATTCACGTCCCCCTCATAAAGGAAACACAAATTACCATCAGCCACCATATGATGTCATACTCCCACCTCAAACCTCAATTGTAACATTAACCACCATTGGTGGACTTCATATAATTTGCAGGTGGTGGTGGGATTAAAGTCCCTGGGAGGCAGAAAAGACTTGCACTCAACCGCTAACCTAGGTCGGTGGTTCGAAACCACCAGTGGCTCTGTGGGAGAAAGATGTGGCAGTCTGCTTCCACAGAGATTTACAGCCGTGGAAACCCTGTGGGGTCACTATGAGTCAGAATCAACTTGATGGCAGTTGGTTTTTTGGTTAGCAGTTCAAACCTACCCAGTGATCTGCTTCCATAAAGATTACAGCCATGAAAATTCTATGGAGTAGTTCTACTCTATAACACATGGGGTCACTATGAGTCAGAATTGACTCGACGGCAACAGATTTGTTTTTTTTTTGGCAGAGGGGAGGGATTAACATAAACATAGCTGCTGATAGTCTCTGTTTCTATAGCTGAATACAAGGCCTTAGTTAATAATCACAGCTTCCTTCTTTTCCCCACCAATTCCTGTTCTCTTCCCCTCTGCTAGCACCTTGGTTGGTGGGTTTTTTTTTACATGGGGTGAAGGATGTGATCAAAACCTCCATTTCTGCAGGCATTCCTTTATGATGTCTTTAGTGGCCTTGTCTTTATCAGTTGTCACAGTTTTCCATGGACCATTGTTATCGGACAGAACCATACAAAGAGGTGGCCAAATGAATCTGCTAGGTTCTAGACATACTGTAGTCCTCCTTGACCCCATTTTGAGCAGCTATGCAATCTTTCCCGTGGGCCATCAGAATAGATTATTAACTTAGCCAGCGTAGTAACCCTTTCTCTCTCTACTGGTTCTTTGAATGAAGAGCCCAAAATGGCCAAGAGGTAGTCTCAGTTTCAAACTCACCAGAACCCTGTTCCCTGGGGTAACAGGAACCTCCTTGGATACCAGGATCTTGAAATCTAATGAGCCCAAGGTTGCAGGGGTAGAAAACAATTTGTTAAATGAGTTATTAGATGTAATAGTGTAAGGAGACACCACCACCTCCACTCCTAGTTTATAGTCGTATACTATATATTGTGACAATACCCTAAATTTACACGGTGTGATCTCTTAGCTGGTGCCATAACTGAGTCTTTAATAGGCCATTTAATAGGCCATTCTACTACCTTTCTTCACCAGACGCCTGTCAGTTTGTCATACTGTGGTGGCTTGCATGTCGCTGTGATGCTGGAAGCTATGCCACTGGTATTGTAAATACCAGCAGGGTTAACCATGCTGGACAGGTTTCAGTGTAGCTTCCAGACTAAGACAGACTAGGAAGAAAGGCCTGGTGATCTATTTCCAAAAATTAGCCAATGAAAGCCTTACGGATCACAAGAGAACATTTTTCAAATCCCTTGCTTTGGACATGTCATCAGAAGGGATCAATCGCTGGAGAAGGACATGTTTAGTGAAGTGGAGGGGCAGTGAGGGTGAAGGATACCCTCAGTGAGATGAATTGGCACAATGGTTGCAAGGATGAACTCAAACTTGCTGGCAATCACGGGGATGACACAAGACGCAGCAATAGTTCATTTTGTTGTACATAAAGTCACCTTGAGTCAGAGTCGACTCCATCACATCTATCTACTTACCTGTCTATTTACCTGTCTGTCTATCTGTCTTGTCTGTATAGCTATCTATCTACCTATTTACCTACCTACCTACCTACCTATCTATCTATCTGTCTGTCTGTCTACTGTCTATCTGGATGAAAAGCCATGGATAAGGATGGTGAATTCCATGGGCATGAGCCTATTGTTGAACTTCTTCACCTTAATGTAAATTCCTCGGTCAGAAGCTACATTGTATGGAATATCACCCAATTATATTCATATTATGCTTTATATTTCAGTGTACCATCTATCTCCTTCCAATATGCTACGTAATGCCAACCTCCCCACTTCCACCCCCAACCAGAACATAAGCTCCATGAGGGCAGGGATTTTGTCTTTGCTATTCACTCTGTGTCCCCATTACCTAGAACCTCAATACCCAAAGCCTGGACTTCCATTCTTGGTGGTCAAAATGGGCTGGAGCTGAGAACTGCTGCCCACTCACCTTTGGTTTCTGCTTCCTGACTTTATCATCTGGGTGATGTTGGGAATCACTGGAAAGTGTTGATTGTATTATAAAGGAAATAATAAATACTAGAGTGGAAACAAATTACATTTATTTTCTGCCTGAATTTCTGCCAGAGAGCTTGACCGGTGAGTGACTCAGTGATACAACCAGGACCCAGCTCACCTGGGGACATCACGAGCTGACGTTCCTGATGGCACGGCTAGCAGGAAGAATGCTCACGAGCTTCCGTCATCACTGCTGGAATCCCCCAGGCAACTGGCCTGACGCCAACTTCAGAGAGAAAAGCTTTGCTTCCTCCCTCCCACCTCAGAGTAGAAACATCACCTGCTTAGAACATTCCTCAAGTGTTATTTTTATTTGCAGCATTCAAAGCTGAGCAACCTCCCACAGGCAAGTCCCTAAATAAATCTGTGGGATAAGCAGATGGCATGGAGGAGGGAGCTAAGGGCAGTATGATGTTGATTGCAAGTGGTAACGGTGGACATCTTTGTCTTGTTCCTGATCTTAGGGGGAAAAGCATCCCATCTTTCACCATTAAAAATGAGATTAACTGTGGATGTTTCATTGCTGTTGTTAGGTGCCTTCGAGTCGATTTCAACTCCTAGTGACCCTATGTACAAAAGAACAAAACACTACCCGGTTCTGCACCAACCTCACAGTTGTTCCTATGTTTAAGCCCATTCTTGCAGCCACTGTGTCCATCTATCTCATTGAGGGTCTTCCTCATTTTTGTTAACCCTCTACTTTACTAAGCATGATGTCCTTTTCCAGGGACTGGTCCCTCC